GATCTTTTCAAGAATTTCATGAGCTATTGTTACAATTTACAATTTAAATTTCATAAAAATTACAAGTAAATATATTTGTTTAAAACAAAGAGAATAATCAAAACTTCACTTGCTAATTTTTTTTTTATCATACTATACTCTAACCTTTCCCTATCGTACCTGCCTTGTATAAATACTACCTAATGGTGTCCTGTCAGGCATCTCTTTTCTCCTTGTTTATTCAGTGAATACTTCTGGCCACAGCAAGAGAATTTACACCAGGGCAATTGGAAAAGGCAATGCATCAGGGCTCTTCTCCCCAGGGAGCTGCTTGTTTAACCTTACCTGGCACAACACCACTTGAAGGAAGAAGGAAAGATCCAGCATGTGTGTGGTTAAGGTGGGGGCAAGAGGGTAAGATGCCACTGGAGAGGGCAGCAGGGTAATGAAGACAGATGGAACCCTGATCAAGCAGGACACACCGAGCGGGTGGTAGATTTGGTCCCAGCACCCAAGGATAGGGAAGGCCTATTTTCTTAAAAATTTTAATTGATTTTTAAAAAAAATTAACGACAGTGGAATGCATTACAATTCTTATTACACATATAGAGCATAATTTTTCATACCTTTGATTGTATGTAAAGTATGTTCACATCAGTTCGTGTCTTCCTACATGTACTTTGGATATGATATCCATCACATAGGGAAGGTCTATTAGACACAGAAATGGCAGAAGTCCATCTGCCATATAACAACATCACGAGACTTTTCCAGTTATGCTCAATGAGACTTTTTGATCCTCTATCTAGTTCACTTTCGTTAATAAGCTATTAAAAGAGGAAATTTTGAATTTCTCAATCTTTTAAAGCTATACTTTTGATTAACACAAAAACATCACATTTTTAAAACATGATATTCAAGCTTCAGATTAAATTCTTTATAATCACACACACACACACATACACACACACACACACACACACACAGCATTGTTTTAAAACTATGGGTGCTTTCCTTTCTTCCAGCTCCAGTTGTAGGATTTAGTAAACTGAATGGTAGATGACAAACAGACCCCTCTAAAAGGCCAGGTAAAATGAAAGCTGAGGAAATTCAGGAAGTAACCGCTACACCTGCACTTCGGTCACACACCTTCCTCTGGAAGCATGCGACTTTACCTTCCACTCTGGGCACTGGCCTGTTTCCTACTCTCCCCACTTGGTTTCGTGATCATCTCTATCACTCTTCACTCCTACAGTGATCACTCCTTATGCCATGATATTAATAGAGCACCGTTTGTCCAACTCATTTCCTCCCAGTTGGGTGCTTGGGCTGTTTCCAATTATTCCTTTTAATATGTGGCAGGGCTCAAAACATCTTTTTACAAATATGTTTGTTTCCTTGGAATTATTCCTTGGAAATTTTCCCCCAGGAGGCCTTACTGGGTCACAGAGCAGGATAATTTTTTTGAGTTGTCACATATTGCAAAACCACTTTGAAAAGTATTTTTTTTTCCCAGTTCATGGTGTAAAATTGAGGGTGTCTGTTTCCCCAAAGCTCTGCCAACAAACGGTGTTGTCCTATTTAGATATTTCTCCTGTAGTTTCCTGATTGCAGAACAATCCATGTAGCTAAGGAGATGAAATCAGGGGGAAAAAAATAAAAACACTTCCCCTAATTAAAGCTCGGTGCAGTAATAGGTGGGTGGTTTTAATACATATCATAAAGAGCTACGAAACATTTTATCATTCAAGTAAGAAAATGAAAAAAAAAAAAAACAACGAGGGGACATGGATTGTTCTTTTAAAGAGTTAGAGACAAAAGAAAGAATAAATACATAAGCCCACACCAGAGGAAAATGATGAGATGCATTGGAAAATAAAGCAGGAATATAGGTATTCTTACTATTATTTTCAGCACTTCATGAAGCAAAGAATTGCTGGAATTACTAAAATTTGGAAATAAACCTGTAGAGTAAGCTTTGTTTTTATTTCTGTTGAGTATGTTAAATTAAACACAATATGTGAGGTATTATCTTTCTACTTGGCTTGGGAACTGTTTTCTCTCTCAATAAACATGATCCAAAATAAGAGCAATGAAAACGCGATTGAATTGGCTTTTGCACTTTTAGGAATGCTCACTATGTATGCAGTGGTCTCCAAGGGCTGCCTGTAGGCATCTCTGGGGTCGGTGACAGACAGTGGACATTACAGCACATTCCTTGAAAAAGACTGTTGTATTTGTACTGTATTATTTTTGGACATTTCAAACATTATTGTGTTTTTAGGGTCTTCTCAGAGGGAAACGACTGAATCAATATGGCCACCAGGTGATTTCACAGGGTGCCATTTCCTGTCCCTGGGGTACAACCATGTCTCCCAGGCTGCCTGGGTTGTCCGCCATCTCTGGTTTCTCATATCTCAGGTTTCACTTGTCACAGGACGATCTTCTAACCCACGTTTACACTGGCTTTGCAGGGGCCTCTCTCTGGGTCTACACAAGCAAAGTGACTTGGAATACTGACCTGTTGAGGCCTGTTCCATCCAGCTTCCCAGGCCAGGAGAGGGATTTATTTCTCTTCATGGGGCAGAATTAAATTCCATTACTATTCCTCCTTCTTTCCAAGAAATAACTTGTTATTTTTTTTCTATTTTAGGCTACTTATTATCTCTACTTCTTTTCCTTTGGAAACTGCATCTTAGTTCTGTGACCTTGATTCTCCCAGCTCTGCTTGAGGCTTCTCATCTGGAGTCTTCTGT